GTAAGTTACACTTTCACAATAAATAGATTGCACTACAGTATTTGTATGAGGTGAATTGAAAAAGACTTTCTTTTGTTTATCATTTTTACAGTGCAAATATTTACTATGAACACTATACACTTTGCATTTTGTGTTGTAATAGAAATCAATATATTTGAAAATGTAGAAAAACATCCAAAAATATTTAATAAATTCCAATCGGTATTCTATTGTTTACCTGTGCGATTAATTTTTTTGAGTTAATCATGTGAGTTAAGTGGGATTAATTGACAGCCCTACTTTGTAGTTTAAATACATTTATTGAATTCTTCAATTAAAATCAGTCCAGTTTTGTCTTTAAACTGAACTGTGGGTAATTCCATTTACGGTAGCAAACTGTTGTGTATATTAATCCCTTTGCAAGAGTTCAGATTACAAAGGGTATGGCTCCTCAGCCTGGAGTTAGGGGTGGGGTCAGTAGGTTTCCCTGGCCTAGGATTGGGGTCAGTAGGCTCCCCAGGCTATGATTAGTCACAAAGGTTAGGGATCCCTGGCTGAGGGTTAGGGTTGCAAAGGGTAGGGCTTCCCATCCTAAGGTAGAGTTGGTATCAGTCGGGTTCCCCATCCTATGGGTAGGGTTGTGGTCAATAGGGATTCCCAGTCTAGGGTTATGGTTATAAAGGCTAATACTCACTAGCCCTAGAGTTAGGAATCAAGTCAGTAGGGCTCCCCGTCCTAGGGGTAGGGTTGTGGTCAATAGGGATTCCCAGTCTAGGGTTATGGTTACAAAGGCTAATACTCACTAGCCCTAGAGTTAGGAATCAAGTCAGTAGGGCTCCCCGTCCTAGGTTTAGGTTACAAAGAATATGTTTTTCCTGTTGTAGGATTAGGGATTGGGCCAGAAGGCGTTCCTATTCTAGGGTTAGCTTTACAAAGGGGAGGGCTCCCTTTCTTTGGTTAGGGTTGGGGTCAGTAGGGCTTGCCAGCCTAAGGTTAGGTACAATGGTAGGACTCCCTGCCCCCGAATTAGGGGTCAGGTTTGTGCGGTCCCCAGGGTATGGTGAGGGCTATAAAAAATAGGACTCCCTGATTTAGGGTTAGGTTGGGGTCAGTAGAGCTGACTGGCTTTGCATTAGGATTACAAAGGATATGGCTTCTTGGCCTGGGGTTGGGGTAAGCATGGCTCCCCTGTGTATGGTTAGGGGTGGGGTCACACGGCTTACCCAGGTTAAGGTTACAAATGGAAAGAGTCTGCAGCCTAGGGTTACTGTGAGGGGCAGTAGGATGCCTCATTCTAGGGTTAGGGTTGGTTTCAGTAGAGTTCCCCTACCTCGGGGTAGAGTTAGAAAATGTATGGTTCCCCAGCCTAGGATTAGTGTTGGGTTCAGTAGGGCACCCTAGACTCTGGGTAGGATTACAAAAGGTAGGGCTCTCTGTCATAGGGCTGTGGGTACAAAGAGTAGGGCCCCCGGCATCAGATTAAGGTTGCATTCAGTAGGGATCCCTTGCCAAAAGTTAGGATTGGGTCAGTAGAGATCACCGGTCTATGGTTACATTTGCAGAGGGTAGGGCTCTCTGGCCTAGGGTTAAGGTTACAAAGTAGAGGGCCCCCACCAGGCTGGAGTTATGGTTTGGTTCAGTAGGGATCCC